CCAAAAACAGCACATTTTGGTACTCTTCAAGACCATTACTTTATTATTATAAAATTATCATTGTATATAGCAGCAATTTACCAAACACTATTATATATCAGGCACTGGAATATAAACTTTACCTATACCAGCTTATATAATCCTCTTACCCTAAAGCTATACATCATTTGCTTCTTCATTAGATGACATTTTGAAATCACTAATATTAATTTAAAATTGATGCTGGGAAATTTCTCTGTTTAAACAAGTGACAATCTGGTTCATCAACATGGAGGAAAATAAATTTCATTTATACAGGAGGGAAATGTAACAAAATGAAATCCTGACAGTGCTTTGCAAATATTTTTTCTATTTTTAACCTGGAAGGACTTTCTTAAAACAAAAAAAAATAGAAATAGCAAAAAAGGTAAGCACTAAATAATTTAGGGAAATATTAGAATTATTAGAAGTTATTAGAAATATAATGAAAATTCCATAGACTGCAGATACCAGAACAAATATAATTTAAAAATAAATAAAAACACAATAAAACAACTTTAAGGAAACACAATAAATCCACAGAACAGAAAGATAAAACCAAAATGTTTAATATACTGTCCCAGACCCCTACAACTCCCTTCTGTCCCCATACAAATAAAGTTTCAAGACTATAGTGATACTTGACAATGGGGACTTCAGATGATATACCAATGTCCATAGAGTTTGACAATGTAAAATACATTTTGAATCCAGTTTTAACTGACATCATATCCATTGTTCTTTCCAATTGGAGCCCAGTGCTTCTCTAATTTATAGTTCTCTTTTATGTTGTCTATTCCAGCCATTTGAGTAATTGATTCAAAGTCAATAAATAGCTGCATTCTAGAAGTCCTTAATTATTTAGGCATTATTTTGTCTCTAAAGTTTTCATTTTATACTTTTTTTCCAAAAAGGAAAACTTGCTAAGAGACAGAGAAGGGGGTGAGGGAAAAGGGCATTAAACATGAATATAAGTACAAACAATTACAAAAACAATAATAGCCTTAAATTTACTCAGTCTTGACATTTAATCTTTCCAGAGATTATTGTGAGAGTGATATGTGTGCAGTGCTGTGCATACCACTTAATAATCTCTTTGTTTTTGTTTTATAGTATATCATAGTTGTCTTTACAAATTCTAAAGATTTAATTGTTATCTATACCTATCTATATCCATTAATCATGAGGTCTTTCCTCTGCACATCCCGTCCTTTGTTCTTTTGTCTCTTTTGTTTCTTATTGAATTGCAAAAGTTATTTATATACAAAGGCTTTCTCATGTTGTATGTCATATCTCTTACAATTATATCTATTCAGTTTGTAATTTTCATCTTTAATTTTATTTAATGGTTTTTTAAATTTTATGAACAAAAGATTTGAATTTTTTATATAGTAAAGTGCGTCATCTTTTTCCTTTATGATATATGCCTTTTGTACTATCTCTTCAGGTGTTCAATGTGTATTAAGGATGACTGGTAGTTTTAAAATGAAACTGGATGCACACGAGTATTAAGCATAAGTATTCAGTGCTTTTAGGTAGGTGTAACCTCAGGGAACAATTCTTATTTCCACCTGTGCTAGTTTGAGAATTGCTCCTGAATTTGCAGACAGAGATTAATTTGTAATTTGACCTTTCTTTTCTTTTTCCTTCCCTAATTTCCTTGTACAAATATTTATTGATAACATTCTACACACTGAACATTTATAACATCGGAAAGTGAATGAGACATATACCCTAACTTTAATGCACATAAAATGTTAAGTTGACATTATACCATCACTATTCATTTTGATGTTAAAAAGTGATGACATGAATGACATTTTTAAACTATGTGCTTTTGCTGAACATATTGAGTTCTGGGTGACTATTCCAAAATAAATTGTAGAGGATGTCATGTGGTTTTTTATTTTGTTTTTGCTTTTAGTTTGTCTCTGCCCCTGATTAAGTATTTGACTCTTGGCAAAGCTTTTAACCTCTGTGTATCTACTTAAAGGTTTGGAAAATAAAAGGATTCTTGATTTCTAAGCCCATTACAGCCAGTAAAACTTGTAACATGCAGTTAGTATAAGAAACATATGTATACTAGCTAGTAGGGCCTACTTTATAAGACTGAAATACAACTATAATTCTGTCTCTCCTATGTGTCCTATTAATCACTCAGTCCTCAACATGCAATCTTATTAGAAATCCTCACAATCCAAAATTGTCTCAAAATACTGGAGCTTACATTGACAACAGTGCTACTCCAGTTTCTAATTTTCAAATCGAGAAAGAAGTTTCATTGTTATAGTTGGTCCTGACTTTTAGGTGCTTTGCTATTTATATTGTTGTCATTTTTGCTGTTGAAAACTGGTCACTTATAACCTCTGGCTTGTTCTCCAATCTTGCTCTTCCCATTCTTGCTTAGGCCTCAGGGATCTCAAGGTTTGAAGTGCTCTAAATTTACAGTCATGTTCAGCATACAAAGCACAGATTCAATGATAGTGTATCTAGATGTTGAAGGTTTCCACCTCAACCCCCTGTGAGCTGGGACTAGTGCTTCTCTAGAAACCTCTAAGCTTGAAACTGTGTCTAAAGTCTATATAGATGATCTTCTTCTTTCTTGGTATGCCCTATATTAAAATTTTTTAACTCTTGTCTTGCTAACACTCACCAGTTGGAACCATCTCATTCATCAGGGTTTGCAGAGTAACATTAAAGCTTATAAAGAAACCAACATTAATCTTTCCTGAGACATTTCCCTGACTTATGTGAAAATTTGCTCATCTCTTTCTCAGTGAACAGCCCTGTACGGGATGGAGTGTAATTGCCAACTTCACAAGAAGGTCTTGAATTTCTTTCCCTCAGAAATATTATCATGCCTACTAAACTTACATTTACAAGATTAAAAGCTGCTTTTCAGAGAACTATAAGAAAGAATTCTAAGGAAAGTTTATCCACAAAAGCAAACACTTCTGGAAGCATCTTTTGAAAGATCATATATTAGATACATACATATACACATAGGAACAGTAATATATAAAACTCTAGAAAAGTAAGGTAAAAGAATGTCATTTATATAATTTCAATATGAATTGTTTCAGTCAAGATTAGGGTTGTTAGTAGGACATACAAAATTCTCAATAGGTGATAAAAAGTACAAGCGTATGCTTTACACATTAGTTGCGTAGTTACCAAGTTACCTTTTTGGTATGTAATGATAGTGAATATTCTGGAGTTGCACAAAACAAAATATAGAATCTTAAAAACTTGATATTGAAGAAAGGAAATATCCCCCCAATAAAACACTTGTGTAAAGTTCTGTAAATGAACAAAATTAAATCCTACTATCCAGAAATATAAATATGTTGCTAATTAAGAAAACAAAACATAATATTCATAAAGCCAGGACTGTAGTGATCTTTAGCATGGATAGATGTTATTATTACTGGGAAAAATATTGAGAGTCCTTTGGGATCTTGGGAATGTGCTATTCCTGGACACAGGTGATAATACCAGTGTTTAGAATGATTTTCCATCATTTTTGTGTGGTATTTATGCATATTAATAAAAAACAAAGTGTTAATTTTATTCTGTTTACAAAAGTTTAACATAAATATTTCAAGCAAATTCAAGACTTTTCTATATAAGGTGTTTATGGTCTATTCAAATTCTGGGACATACACTCAGCGGTAACTCCAGACAGCTCCTCAAAGTGTAGCATGTAGAGGAGAGCGTACAGATGAGAAGACTTCAGGGGCATTTGGTGCCAATGCTTCAGTAGAACTGCTAAGAATAATTTTAATATGATGTTAAGATAAACTTCATTTTTTGGTACACAAGTCAATCTATGCTCTAAAATTTATATATTAACTTCATGAAATATGTTAATGATCAAATTATCTGTTGCAGAACGTTAGAAAGCAATGACTTATACTTTAACAATGCTGCTATTATTTGTTTCTATTTGGTATTCTCTGATAAAAAATATAAAGAAATTGTTTTCTGAAGGTAATTTATATAATAAAACCATAAAATATCTCAATACAGGAGGCTTTTTTTTTTCTGTTCTTCCCTTTCATGCAAAAATGTGAAATACTGAAGACCCAGTTCATCTAAATTCTGTGACTGAGTCCTTAGACTGAGCCTTAGGCCTTCATACTTTTTGTCATTTTATTGTGAAAAATGTTCTCCTAAGAATCCATGTGATCCACTTAAGTTATCAAGATGTTTGTTACAAAAAAATTTCTGGAAAAGCAATTAAAACCTTAACTTCATATATCTATACAATCTAGTATGGCTCATAAGTGGTTAAAACTAAAACATCTTAATTTTAAAATGTCAGTGTTACAAAGAGTTTAGAATTGTTCTAACAGGCTTCTCTTTAGATAAAACTGAGCATAGCAATGGTCAATAATGAACCAACTACAATTAGAACTGCCTATTCCTCACAGAATCAGTGGAGACTTAGCCATGCATCTTACTGAGGAAAGTCAGTATAGTGATCAGAATGGATACAGATTACTTGCAACTCTTCTTATATGTATGAATGCATATATACCTATACCCACATACACTCACATGTTATATTTTAGGGCTTTAGAAAAATATATTAAATTGATTTCATATTTCTCAACACCTAAAATTTTGTCACCAGCATAATATTCATTTGTAGGAAAAAGAAATTGTAATTGAACTGAGTTACTTCTTCTGTGAAATTCAAATGCTATTTGTGCCAAGTTGCTTTGCACATAGGAAATGTTGTCTATTATTTATTCCTTAAATCAGGTGTAATTTGTTGTTTGATAATATTGAAATGGTATATACTTGATATCATTGGATTTAATAATCCTGTATTATACTTATATTTATTGTATAAATTGTATACATTTCTAATATACAGGGCTCAAATAAGGAATCAAAATGCACTCTATTTCTAGTAGAGAGAGATTTAACACAATGTAAGGAATTAGAGGTATGCACAAACTTTGTGGAAGAAATATCAGGTGGTTACTTTTAGGAAATCTACAAGTCTAAGCATTGACAGAATGCTTCCATCATAATGGAAATTTCCCAGGAACCTGCCATAAAAAAGCAGGTAATTTTCAGAGGAATCACTCAATTGCTGGAAGCCACTGCCAATGATCTTCGATGTCTGCTGAGAATAATGAGTTATCCCTCAATCCTAACTTCCAAATCATGTGCATTCTTCTGATTGGTGACATCTAACCATCCAGGAAGCATATAATGAAAGGGATTCCTGGGAATATGGTTCAGTGCTCTTCCTATAGTATTGAGAAAAATAATGTATAAGGAGCATCAAGTAGGAAATAAAAAATACAGATCAGCCTTCAAATATTATAAGCTTAGAGTGATTATTATTTTCTGGAGGTACGTTTTTTATTATATTTTAAGCTGATTAATTGGTATTACTGTCTAATTAAGCTGAAATATAAAAATATGCTTAAGTATGTGCAGGTAAAATTGCACATAAAATTTCTACAATCTCTCGTCTGGCCTTAGTGCATCTCCATATGAACAGGCGTTTGCAAGGGGTGGAGAGAAGTAGTCTATCTCCATATCAGTGGGTAAATTATCTGGGCAAGGGAGGGCTTATCTGGACCTGAGAGGTTGGGGACAGTATTCGCCCTCTTCTGCCGCAGCAGGAGAGTGTGAGACTGGACAAATTCCTTGTAAGTAATAAACGGGTTTTAAACTTTATTTCTCCCTTTGATTTCGATTTCAAACGCGTTTTGCCCCGGGATTTCCCTTCCCCGGATTTGTAGTATGACACTTGTTCTATTGCTATATTTTTAGAGATAATAAACATATGATGTGATAAAGACACTACTACATAATTGGCATGCTTGTGAGTGTATTTTAATTATTCTATAGCCAAATATAAATCGTTGTCATAATGTTGTTAGAAGAGAATATACTCATATTAGATATTATTGTGATACAGAATGGGTGAGTTATTCTGTTCTTTTGTGGAATTCCAAGATATGAATTTTTCCAGTGAATATATTTTATTTTAGCTTAGTCAACATAAATATTCTTTGTGAATCTGAAGTAATACTGTGATTTCAAGATGGTGAGAAAAGTGTACACTGCAGTCCATCCACATCGATCCTAGAAGTGAACAATTAAAAAAAAAGATAGAGAAATAAAGAAATGGATACATTAGAAATCAAGAAGAAAAAATCTTGAAGAGCTAGAAATTGTGATAAATCCTTAAAAGAGTAAAGACTGACCATTTCTGCTAGAAGTCATAGGCTGGGATAAACACGTTAGTTTCCTGCCACATAACATTAGTTCAACACCAAGAGAGCTCTGGGTATAGACCTGATAAAGCAAGGAATCAGGATGGGGGGAACAAAGAAATCCCAACAAATTACTTAGTTTTATTACTATAATGGGAGGCATTAATAAAGAAAAAGGAGATCTGTCACTATGCAGGAACAGTAAGAAAAGGAGCTTGGATGCAAGAGACAGAACAATGATCCATGTGACTAATGCCTCATTTATTTTTATGACACTAAAGATGGGATATTTCTGATCCTTAGCAAGATAACTAAAATTTTGGACTTGTAGACATGGATGTTGGCTTTGTTTCCTGTGATTATCAGTGGACTCCATACATAAAGGCAGAAAACAGTCTAACAGTTGTAAGAGTTCAAAAGCAAAAGACATGAACTCACAGGAGGTATGAACTCTTATGACTTCAATGCTATGAAAAACAGTAAACAAGCTCAAAAAATGAAGACTACACATTGAAATAGAGGTGATAGAGTAATCAGTAGAGAAGATCAAAATAAATTTATTATTCATAAAGAGATTAAGGTAGATATTGTCCTTATCACAGAAGAACAGTTATATATGAAAGGATTTATGTATGTAAAAAAAACATACTAGTGATCATAGGCACTACACAATATAAAATATGAATTAGATAATATATAAAATGTAGAATATCACTCATTAGAACAATAAATACAGCTGAAGTAGAGATAATGGCTAGGTGGAGAAATTGCCTCAGAATGCAGTACAAAAAAAAAGATGAAAAGTTTTAAAGAAGGGTTAGAGAGAAATATATGACATCTTTGAGGCTGCCCAGTAATTAGTTTGCCTCTTCTCTACCTCTAAGTATAAAACAATTGAGAAATAAAAAAAGATGTAAAGTATAAGGAGGCCAAATTCTCACCTTTTTCATTGATATTACCTGGGAGGGTTTGGAGTTTAATGTACAGGCTAATTGTTGTAGCTATGCGAACATCAGAATCAGGCCATTTATTCACCCAGTCGCGGGGGACACTGACCCCCGGAGGACACTTTCTGTAAGCACAACTATATTGACTGTATGGCGAAGAGTATCAGAAAACAAGTTTACTCTGGGCAGATCAGAAAGAAGAGAGATGACCAGGTCTTTTTTTCCAAATTCACAAATCAAGAGAGTCACTAGTAGGAGAAGGATTGAAGTTATCCAAGCATTTTCCAAAAGTTTAGTTTCTTCAACATGGAAATATATCAAAATTTTGGACAAACATTTTTCCCAATCAATACACACTATACATTTTAAAATAACACTTATCTTATAGGAGTTCCAGAAGAGATGATATAGAAAACACATGAAAAGTAATAAAATCAAGGCCCCAAGAAAGACAATAACAAAGATATATGCAAATAAATACATCTATCTGTATATAAATATGCCATATATATGCATATATATATAAACACACATATATGCATACACACACATACACACACAAGTATTTACATACACCTACTTTGTATGTAGTTCAACTTCAGATCATCAAGAAAGAAAACCAAATGACAAGAGTTACCTAGGGAATGCGTGTGGGAAAGATTGCCTACAAATATATGGCAACAGACTTCATATCAACTAATGACACAAGAGGAGAATGAAATAAGGTCTTCAAAGATCTGAGGGGAGATAACTTTGAACATTGACTACTATATCTAAAAGAAACAATTACTGGAATATGAGGTAAACAAAATGATAGTATTTTCATGAATATTGAGAATCAAAGAGTATAACCTGTAATCCTTGTTTGAAAGAATTATGAAAGGATATTCTTCAGAAAGAAGAGGAAAATAAATACACTTTGAGGAAGCTATTGACCATCTTCACAAATACAGTACTGGAATGGGGAATTCCTTTGACATTCACCTCTAAGTCTTCCTAAGTGGCATAAAAAAAAAAATCTGGTGCTAGGGACATTCAGAACATTCTTATTACCTTAGTCTCTGCATTTCAAGGACTATGGATTGCTTTGCAGATTTAAATTTAAGTTAAATTTTCTGCTAAGTGTCAATGTCACGTGCTCTCTCATAAATAGGTTTTTACTGCATAATTACATTTAGATTAATGCATTTCTGTTAGTAGTAAGTATTAAAATAATGTACAAGGAAATATATTAAAACTTAGAAATTCACATTCTTAATAAAATATTTTCTAGTATCTGGAAAAAATAAGCCATTAATGGATAGCAGGGGAAGTGAAACAATATATAAATAACTTACTCTGTAACTTATCATTGGAATATTCACATGGCCATTCATACTTTATAAATATTGCTTTGGAGGCCATTATTTCACAATGGTTAGGGCATTATTTTAGTAATAGGCATATCCGATTCTAGTCAGGGTTACAATTTCCTGGAATCTGACCTTGAGCATGTGACTTAACCCTACTGAGTTCAATGCTTTCACCTCAGATAGGTATGTTCTGAAGATCCATTCAAGTGTGTACTCCCAGTCTTACC